TAATGAAATATGAACTCAGTGGGAGTGTGGTCATGTGTGGACCTCACTAAGCAAACGATGTTAGCTGATACCAGACTGAGCTCGACGAGCTAGGTCAATCAATTGAGAAAAACCTATATTACATAGGCATAAAAAGCTATCCGATAAGGGTTCTAATAGGTCATCTCTTAATGAGGTCGGAGTATGCCTATATGAGTGAGTCGATGGATTGTGTAACCCTTGTGTGTGATGGTAGCCTTCAAAGACGGGGGGCCAAAGCCTCATTTGCAAGCCATCACATGACATACATATATGATAGTTATTTCGAAAAAGTGAACCACCTTTTAGTGTGAAGCTTATACACGTGCGAAAGATACCCCTATACGCCATATGAGCTGTGGTCGCATCAGGTCTAAGTAATCTTGGTACATCTCTAGGGGAGAGCCTGAAATCTACAAACTGGGATTACGACCCCTTGCCCATTGGCTGGACATTGATAACCCACTAATTAGCCCATGTATGGATTGTGGGTCATGGGCAATACTAGGTTGGTTTGAGAAAGCAAGTGTGAACTGTAATCCACAGTTAAATGTGGAGTGCCTCAATATTTATTTATTTAATTCCAGAACCATATGGATCCTTTTCCATTTAATGACTTTAATTATGTTTGTTTTAATGATATATGATTTTTACAATTATTATTTGAATTTTTCTAGATCTCTAGATATTTTATTTATCAAATTTGAATTTATAAAAGCATAGATATTAGTTTTAGATTGATTTAATCATTCATATTGGATTTTATGAATTCCTAAAAATCATAATTAATTTTTTTTTTGCATGGGAGGCCCAATAAACATATGGGTCCACTATTGCAATGTGGGTGGGGCCCATGAGTGCCACCTAGGGTGGCACGAGTTTTGTTGGACCAAGCTTGGACTTGAAAAAAAAGGTTTGTGATGTTTTGAAAAGCCTTTGCTTTGAGGAAGTTTTGAATAGATTTTTTGAAAGCATGAGAATGCTTGTAGATTATTTTAGCATGCACAATATTATATTTGAAATTATTTTATTTAATTTCTATTGATGAAAAAATGATTTAAGAAATGGGGATAAAGTTTTAGTACTTTTCATGATGTTGATGATCCATTTATAAAATAAAGGGATCAAATCTTTCACCTCACAAGTCACCAAAAAGCAATGGTTTATGTTAAATATCACAAGAAGAGGCAAGTTAGAGAAAACCCTAAAAAACCATATTCTTGTTCAAACACTACAAAAATCTCTATACATTATCTCTTATACCTAATTTTCATCTCTCTCTCTTTCTCTCTTACATCCCACAAAGCGGGCACGCCCCACTTAGAATATATATCTCTCTCTTAAGAAAGTTTCTCTTTCTCTCTCAAGAGACCCAAATGGGTATGCCCCACTCTTTGATATTTGATATCTCTCTCATGGTGGTTCTCTAAACTCTCTCATGATCTCTCACGTCTCATTGTGGTTTTAGACTATAGGGTTATGGTAGAAAAAAGAAACATCTTCATCAAACTAGGTTGCTAAGGGGATTCACCTAAGGGTTAGCGATTTGTGATACATGAATTTATTGTTCAATTAGAGGGTTTGACTTAAATTTATTGTTCAATTTAGTGTTTAAAAAAAACGCCGAGTCGAACCGGACTCGCCCGGTTCGACTCGGGAATCGCCATGGACTGATCGAATCGGTGAAAAAAACGGAAATCGTTCGGTTCTAGAGAGAACCGGACGATTCTGTACAGTGACTCGCCGATTCACTGTACGGAATCGGCGAGTCCGTACAGTGAATAGGCAAGTCCCGTACGGATTTTTTTTATTTTTTTATTTTTTATTTTTTTATTTTTTATTTAGTTGTAATCCATAATAGATTTTTTTGTAATACTTGATCGATTTTTTTGTAATCCATGATCGAATTGTTTTTTTTTTTTGTAATCCATGATCGAATTTTTTTTTTTTTGTAACCCATGATAGAATTTTTTGTAATCCATTGATCGAATTTTTTGTTATCCATGATCGAAATGTTGTTTTTTTTTCTTGTAATCCATGATCGAATTTTTTTTTTTTTGTAACCCATGATAGAATTTTTTGTAATCCATGATCGAATGTTTTGTAATACATGATCGAAATGTTTTTTTTTTTTTTGTAATCCATGATCGAATTTTTGTTTTTTGCTTTTTTTGTAACCCATGATAGAGTTTTTTGTTAATTCCATGATTGAATTTTTTGTAATCCATGATCGAATTGTTTTTTTCTTTTTTTGTAATCCACGATTGAATTTTTTGTTTTTTTTGTTTGTTTTTTTTTGTAATCCATGATCGAATTTTATGTAATCCATGATTGAATTTTATGTAATCCATGATCGAATTTTTGGTAATCCATGATTGAATTTTTTGAAAATTTGTGATTTTTTTTTTTTAATCCATGATCGAATTTTTTTTGTAATCCATGATAGAATTTTTTGAAAATTTGTGATTTTTTTTTTAATCCATGATCGATTTTTTTTAAAAATTTGTTATTTTTTTTTTAATCCATATTATTCAAAGAGAAAATGAGAGAGATGATGATTCAGAGGCCACCCTATCCCAGCCATATTATTCACATATCGAGTCCCAACAGCAACAGTGTAGGGATGAGCACGACAGTGTAGGTGAGCATGAAGGATGGACAATCTTCGGGGATTTTAGATTGGGAACACAACAAAACACTAACACTCAGGGATTTGGGAATAGTCAAACGCCTGCTAATATCGATGATTCGTTTTTAGATCGAATCAATGAATTGTTAAACGAATTCAATCAACGGCACCAACGTGACCAAGAAGAACAATAACGTCGTCTATCATTTTATTTTTAGATCATATGTTACTAATTTTATGCTTTATTGTAGTCCATGTATGTTGATATACTTATTCCATGATAATTATATGTTTATCCTTTTGTGTGATGTAAATTAAATGCTGAATGGCGATTCATGCAGGGAAAGAACATATCAATATTCGCATATTCATTCAAAAACATGAAAATTCTTAATGGAGTACCCTCATTTCTTATTGAATTCCTAAAAAACAATATTGATAATGAATTTTAATAATTTTTTCGGATTTTTTTGAAGCTTTATTCTGACCGATTCACCCGATTCCCGATCCGGATCCCCGATTCGCCTATTCGGATCGGTTTTTTGGAAGCCCGATCAGGGTCACCGATCCGTTTTTTAAACCATTGGTTCAATTATTGTTTTCCCGGTTGAGATTCATTGATTGTTGCTTTTGTGCTATCGGATGATGGTGACTCGGTGTGGGGTGTAACAAGCACGGTTGAAATAATCTCTAGTATTCTCTTTTTATTTTTTGCCATATTTAAGTATATTGTCTTTATATTCCTAAAAATAATAATTGTGGTTATTTTCTTTGTTTAAAGAAAAATGGTTTAGTGACATCAAGGTTTTTAAGATCTTAGATTTGCTAGTTTTATTTTTTTTGAAGCAAGAGTTATTATAATAATACTAATTGTAAGTGATATTTGCCAAAAGAAAAGAAAAATAAAAGAAAACTAGGTGAAAAGAAGAAAAATAAAAAAAATATATCCTCGAACAAGATCTCAGTAGTCTTTCTTTTACCTGCCTCATAAGTACGGGCAGAAATGGATATGGATCTAGACCTGACTTAGGACCCAAGGGGTAGACTTGATCCAAGCCTAAGTATGGGTCCAAAAATTAGACCCCACATGTTAGGTCTGGGTCTAAATCTTGGACTTGAACACTATTCAGGTTTGGGTACAGGTTCAATTGGGTTAAGGTCAGATAATATTTTGCAGATCTCAATATATGAAATATATTGATATTTAAATTTTTGAGTTGGGGGTCCAAGTCCGGACCCGGATGGGATGGGACGGGACGGGACGCGACTCAACCCGTTGCCACCCCTAATGAGTCTTTCAAAGGTAAGAGACACACACGTAATACTCCCAAAATCACAAGGCTATTCTCGTCATCGTTACCTATTTCAACCTCGACGTGATTTACTCTCTCCATGTTGTCCCCATCGTCATTACAACATGGAAGCGAAGACAGAACCAAGGCAAACAAACCTATTTCCCATATTACCCCCTTAAATATACAAAATAATAAAAGGGTGTTATAGTCTCTCTCTCTCTAAATCAGGTATGCATTTTTGGACTTTCAATTTCTCTTCTATCCAACGCTACACCCTAATCATTGACTCTCAAAATCCTAAACCCTAATCTTTGATGCTTCTCGGACGAGTTCCACAAGACTATCGTGCTTTGTTTCGGTAGATTTGGATCACAATAGTCTATTTTAACGATCGATTCACTCAAACCAAACTAAATCTGTGTATATATGACTATTGTTTTTAATTTCTTTTGGTGTTGAATTGACACAATATTTGCAAATAAGCTATCATATGGTTTTATATTTATTTTTTAGGGCTTAACTTTTAATTAAGCCCCTAAAGTTTAGGGTCAGGGATTTGCTATTGGAGAATCAAAATTTCAGCAATTATATTTGCAAAATCCATGTGAATAAGCTGCGTGATAACTGACCACAAAATGTATCCTGTCAGCTCAGGCTTGATATCTAGGCTCAGCATTCAGGTCCGGGCTCGGGCCAGCTTCGCCCTACCCTATCCCTTTTCTGTTCTCGATTTCATGCTAGCCCTATTAACAGGCGACCCAGCCACCCAGCCCGACTAGGCCCGAGCATTGGCCATGGCTCCTCACTGCCTTGGTGCAAGCCCGGAAGAAGCCGAGGCAAGAAACTCAATTAAATCCCCCTGGGATACCCCCTCCAATATAGCAAACAACAACCAAGTCCCATCACTCAACAATCGTTCAAAGACAACAAATGTTCAAGCGCAAGGGTGTTATAGTCATTTCAGAAATATTTCTCTCTCTACCCACCTCTCAGATCAGAACTGAGAGAGAGAAGTCAGAAGGCAGATATTTAGAGAGAGAGAGAGAGTCATAAGAAGAGTGAAAGAGAGGCAGAGAGAATAATATAAAGAGAGAGAATAAAGTGGGAGGGACAAAGTCCAGAGAAACCAGGGACAAAGCTGAACCCCCCATGGAAGCCCCTTTCAACCTCCGAAATGTCAAACAGGTCCTCGCTCACTCTCTCTCCATCCTCACTGCAAACCGTTTCTGTCTCCTATCCATCTCTCTCCTCCTCTTCTCTTTCAGAGCCTCGCTCGAAACCCTAACCCTAACCCTAACCTCCTCCATTGAGCACCAAACCCTAACTCTAGCCCACCCGCTCTTCCCTGCAGCTCCTCCGTTTTCCGGTGATTCTAAGCCTCCGGAGAGTTTTTCCGCCCGCAGAAAAACCAGTTCGGGCAGGCGGCGCCTCGTCCACTTCAAAACCCTGGATGATGACTTCTTTGCAGAGGACCTGATTGCTCGAAACCCTAACCCTAATTTCCTGGTTCGAATCTCTGCAACTCAAGGTTTGGGGCCTTTTATGAACTCGTCTGGTTTGCTTAATGGCTTCAATGTTAATGGTGGTGATGGAGATGTTGTGGCTGCTTTGAAATCTGGGGCTTTGGTGGTATTCAAGCAACCCGAAACCGCTGTGGAATCTGGTTTTCAGGGAGAGATTCAGCGATTTTCAGGCGATGGTTTTGTTTACGACCAGCAGCAAGTAAGGGCTTTTTTCTCTCTTTTGACCTCGATGTCTATTCTTTTTGGGTGCTTGATTCTAGGGTTTTTCACTATGAGTTCTTGTATGATTGGGGTCATCTGTTACATGGTAGTTAGTGTGCATCTCAATCGAAGGGTGTCAATTACTAGGGTCTTCAGAATAGGTCTTCAATCTGGGCTTCAAAGAGTTACAGGGCTGGTGTTTTTCAGGTGGTCAGTTAGAGAAGTGTTGACCCAATTCTTGTTTGTGGTTTTCTTTTCTGAAGTTAAAGATCGAAGAGTGATTTTTCGCCTGGTTTTGAGGCTTAAATTGGTGCCTTTTTCAGTGATTTCTCCATGGATAGATAAGTTGGACTGGGACCATGAAGTTTCTCTGAGAATTCTAGGATTTTTTGGTCTCTGGTTTTTGCTTGAGTCGATCATTTCTTTTGCTTACACATTGGATTGTTGGGTGGCAATGTTAAACTCGTCAAAAAGTATTCGCGAGGCCATAAAGGAAGGCTACGATTTGATGCAAGTTATGGTTCTCCAAGCATTTGCAATAAAGTGTTTAGAGATTGTTTTTGGTGGGTTTCTAGTGAGACAATTCTTCGCTAAACTTGGCTACGATTGTTTCGCTCTGTATTGCCAGTCATTGGCTGAGACCTTTTTTCTTGTAGTTTGGCTGGTCTTTTTCTTTGCTGCGAAGTCTAAAGCCAGCCAGCTGCAGGGACAGAGTTTCGGTGAGAATGAATTGAGGAATTACATTGATGAGCTTCGCTAAAATCACCTCTAAGAAATAGCGAGGTTGCAAGCATTCATTGGATATGTGAAAATTTTCATGACCCATGTGCTCTGATTCAAATGATTACATTGATGGGATTTGCTAAGTTGCTCATATTTGCAGCAAGAATGCATGGATTCCCTGATTTCATTAATGGTTCAGGTGTTAATTGACTGGAATTGTATTGATGAGCTGTGCCAAATTGCTGTGGTTTTGTAAAAGTGTGGAATGGGGAGGGAGAGTGAGAGTTTAAAGGTAGCCCAGTGCCCTGGAAATAGTTGAAGATGTGTACCATAATGAGGCTTTTTTGGCATATGATAGTCCTTTTTTGTGGGGATTTTTTTTCCTCATTTTGGGTGTACATTGTCTGGGGTAGCTCTCAGCCTCGGTAACTATCACTTGGAACCTTGTCATACACCTGTAAAATTAAATCCGCGTTGTATTTTGAACACAAAAGTTGTGTTTTGCTTTTTTGTGCGTTTCTTTCATCAGAATCCCTGGTATATTGTAATGGGAATACCATTTTCATGTAATCTTTAACATCCTGCAAGGAGCTGTATAACAGTTTAAAGGAAGGTTATGCTGAAGAGCTTGGCTTTATATTCTTTGCTAGTCTCTTATGGTGTGATTGTATTGATTCATATGTATTCTCTGATGTAGATATGTGTGGGCATGTGTGTTTATAATTTTAAGATTATGAAAACTATTGCCAAAGTTAAAATCAAACTTTCTCAAAAAGAAAAAAAAGCCAAAGTCGAGTTTATTATTTATTTGACTTAATTGTTTGTTGCATTTCTTATTTCATTTTCTATGATTGTCTCTTCTACAATACTTTTACCTCTTATTGATCTATGCTACAGTTATGGCTGGATGCCAAGTTGTTTTATGATATGTTTAAATTCGTACATGCCTATGAAGCACGAACTTAACTATGACTCTCTAGAGTGACTTCTACCTCTAAGGTGCTTCTCCATTTTCTATGCTTGACACGCAAGTTTCATTATGTTGTCACTGTTTTGATCATGGACACCAAAATTAAAGTTTCCCATCAGTTTCATCGGTCCTGATCTTGTTTGATTTTGTACCTATGATGGGAGCGAACCTCTTCTAATCTAGAAGGAAATCCATTGATTTCTGGACACTTCGCCCTCCATAGCCCGATTTCTCTATCTTCTACTAGTGGAAGCTCCTAAATAGTTGATGCTTTATATTTATATAAGACTTCACCAAGCATAAACAAGGGGTTCTCACACTAAGCCTGGGCTTATTAAACCATGCCACGTAGATTCTAATTGAAAAAAAGAAGATGATTAATTATTTTTGTCTTGAAATACATTTCCTGTTGTTGCTAGGAAGGGTTATCTCAATGCCATTACCGTATCTTTGTAAGTCGTGGGCAGGCGAGCAGGGAGCTAGTTACTTCTGCGATAATTTAGGGAAGATAAATGGGGTGCAACGAGGGCATCATGGCCTCTCTTGGATTAGATTAATTATTCTTTTTATATTTACTTTTTGAGGGAAGCATGAAACTTATTCATGGATGCAGCTAGGGTTTTATTTGTATTTTGTATTTGCATGGGAGAGTGGAACTAGGGTTATTTGTTATTTAATTTGTTTTACTTATTTAAGGGTATTTATGTCTTTTTGTGTTTAGTAGAGAATTCAGGGATAATTTAGTACTTTAATTATTTTATTTTAATTAGGGTTATTGATTTCATTTTTGTTAGGTAAAGTTTCATAGAAAGGGGAGAGAAGGACTTACAACCCCATTGGTGTTGTCTTACGAGAACTTTGAGAAAGGGAAACAAAAAAGGAGGGAAGAAAAAGAAAAAAAAAACTAGAACGGGCTTCCTGATTCTTTGATTGAAGGCCATAGAAAGGTTTGATGGCACCTCCCAAGATCCATCCTTCCAAGGTTTCTATGGCCTTTCAAAGGCTTCCTAAATTCTTTTTTTCTTTTCCACCTACAATGTCCCTCTCCTTTTGCACTTTTTGTACTTAAATTTTTTTGTATTATTCTTTCTTATTCCTCCTTCCATCCTCTTCATGTAAATTCTTTTGTCATTTTTTTTTTTCTCCCCCCTTGTTCCCTTTTCTTTTTGTAAATTCTCTTGTTTGTCCCCTTCCTCCTTTCTTATTTTTCACTCTCACTGTACTATTAGTATTTTCATCTTCTTTCTTTTACCATTCTTTTCCCCAATTTCTTCTTTCTTCATAAGTCTTTGCCATATTTGTTTTTTGAGTAAAGTTAACGTTGTATTACTAGAAGAGCATCAGGGAACAAGAGTGGGACCTGAGAGCACCCATAGACACGGTCTCTCGAACAAAAAATAGGTCAGTATGCTATGACCCTACAAAAAATTGGGGCTTATAGACTCGTCCGATTACAAGCAAAGTACTGAACAAATCAAAATACAATGCACCCATGGTGGTCTAGAGCAAAAAAGGAGATGGACCAGCAACTAAAGTTTGAACAATACAGCAACCCAGAAAGTCACGATTAGGCGAGTGGATCTGCTTGGGCCCTAGCTCCATCCTTAGTCAGAAGAGCTGCGAACTCGTTCGATGTTCTCCTGATATACTTCGATGAGATGACCATATCCCTGCAGGTGTAAGCAATTTCGTCAAATATTGAGGATAGGTACCATGGAGGTGATGAATTCCCAGCGGCCCAAGAAATGATGTTTTGGGCATCTCCCTCCACAAACAACTAAGATCCCCAAGAAAAGTCGAATCTTTTAAGCCCCAAGAGCAGAGCCATGTATTCAGCGAATTGAGAATCTTCATGGCCTAAGTGCTCAGAATAGGTGGCTAGAACATTACCACGATGGTCACGGTAAACACCTCTGGTTCCAACTGGGCCAGGGTTCCCCAGAGAGCAACTGTCGAAGTTGAGCTTGATGGTGCCTTCTGGTGGAGGCAGCCAGTTGTTGGGTCTTGATACCCTCTGTGGTTGGAGCTTAAGAATGTTTTCCCATTGGCTGAGGAAAGTGTTAGCCGATATCCTGTTAAAGGCCCTGTAAGTAGAGGCCCAAAAGATTACTAAGGAAGTAACCTTATGGAAGAGTGCTAGAATTTCATTCTTGGGGCCTTGGAAAATCCTGGAGTTCCTTTCTAGCCAAATAATCCAAATAGTGGCTGCGATAGCTGCCTTCCACAGGATTCTTCCAGACTTCGGCCAGTGAGAGATGAGAGACAAAGAGATGAGAGCCCGGACAGAGGGTGGAGTGACCCATAAGAGGCCAAACAGCTGGATTAAGAGACTCCACAGGTCGTGGGCTAGGCTACAGTGAACGAACAGGTGTGGGTTCGATTCCTCCTCACAATGACACAGTGCGCACCTGTTGGGGATCGGGATCCCTTTCCTTTGAAGCTGGTCCACTGTGAAAGCAACAAACACATCCTATTCAAAGAACAAACACATCCTATTCAAACAGCAAACACGTCCTCTTCAAAGAACCCGTCGAAACCCTACAAATTAACCCATACGTCCTTATAATTAACTCGAACAAAACCTGCTGAAACCATTAGCCCTAATTTTCTTACTGAAGTCCAAACCCTGCTTTTACAGACCCATTAACTCCAAAGCCCTAAAACTAGGCTTGGAGACCCTTGGAATTAATTTAAAGTGATTTTCTACCCTCTTCTTATCTCCAGGCTACAGGCTAGCTTTAAATTTGGTTGAGATCAATTTTATTTAATGAGTTTTGTTTTAGGGCAGATTTCAACAATTACAGATTTGAAATCTCATTTCCAAGGCATTAAAGAAAATTTCTAAATTGCATGTTGATCCATATTAGTTAGTTTTGTAGATGATTACCTACTGAAACTGTAGATATTGAACCTTATTTGGAATTAAAGTGCCCTCAGAACGTTTTTTGGTTATTGTAGCCCGAGATTAGTGATTGGTTGATCTTACGTTGCATCAATTTGGTATCATAGTAAGTTTTGTCCTAGGGTCAAAGGTTCGTCTTTGAGTTCTTTCGGGTCTTTCCTAGAGTGTTATGGTGTCCATTAGGTCTTTAAGGTTCTGTGCTTTGCTTTTATGTCCCTTAGTTTCTGTCCTACTTTGTGATATAGTGCTCCTTAGTGCTGCATCTGTTGTCCTAGGATTAGTCGTTAGTTTTGTTGCTGTCATATAATTCCCAACCCAAATAAACTGTCTTGGTGCCTATATAGGAAAGTTTATATTAGGCTAGGTGAATCCACATGTCATGGCAGTTCAAGACAATGCGAAATCATGGTTGATCCATGGTCGTGACCAAGGCCGTCGGAGTGGTCAAGTCAGGACTGGTCAATCCATCATAGAAAGATTTGATGAATGTTAAGGTGGTGCTTCCTCTAAACCCTTTATGGAAGCTTCTGTGAAGATGCTAGTGTGTGTGGTCTTGATAAGTGCGAAACACTAGGCGAGGAAGATGGAAAGTTGGATGATGATTCTTATTAGGATCCTAGGCAGTATCACAAAGAAGAGCAAATCGAGGATAGTTGAATATAACATCATTTGAGGTAAAAAGTAAGGAGACAAAAACAACCTTGCCTCTTTTGCCGAAGGAAGAGGCGGAGAGTTCAGTGCCTGTTGGATGAATTTAGGGAGCTCACCCAAGAACAACTTCCTGACAGCCTTCCTCTTACGATAGATATACAACACTGAATAAATCTCACTTGTGGATTGAGCTTCCCACACTTGGGAGCCATTAATGGATAAATCCAGATGAGCACAAAATTGCATAGGATGGTCAAGGAATTGCTAATAAATGGGCTTATTTGAGAAGCTTGAGTCTTTGTGCATCTCTGCTCTTTTTACTACAAAGTAAGATGGTAATTGGTGAATGTGTATTGATAGCTGCGTAATTAATAACTGTCACTTGTTTTTTTTCCCCCAAGATTGACCCCAAGGGTAGATGCCATCAAATTTGTATTCAACTAGGGAGTTCTCTTCCTGAGAATTTCATTCTTGAGTTACGTAGGGAGGGGTCTGGCTGAGAATATTTGGGTTAGGCTAAGACTGTAGTAGAGGAGAGGTATTTTTTGCGTAGGTCTAGGTACAACCTACAACATGAAGAGATATGTGAATCTTTGTCATGTTTGTCAGGTTTTTAAAGGTCAGTCTCAGAATACTGGCCTCTACACTCACTTCCCATCCCAGATTCTACTTGACAAGATATGAGCATGCATTACATATTACGTTTCCTTAGAGCCCCTAGGAGATCGGATTCTGTGTTTATAATAGTGGACCATTATTTGAAAACAGTGTATTTCGTTTCTTATTAAAGGACCACTGATGCGTCTATGTTGCATATAGTTTTCTAGAAAAATTATTCGTCTTTAAGGTATGCCTAAATTGATCACATCTGATCGAGATATTAGATTCTCTAGTCACTTTTTAGACAATGTTGCAGCCAAAACTAGTCAATAGTTCAGAAGTGCATATAATTGTCTCATCGATGACCAAACTAAGGTAGTGAACTGTAGTTCGGAAAATTTGTTGAGGTGTCATGCAGGTTTGAAACTGAACTAGTGGAATATGAGTCTTCCCCAATAGCTTGGCGAACTAATCGACTGGGAAGTCACCCTTCGAGATGGTCTACAGTCACACCATTCC